CTACAGACAGGAGGGGAATCAACTCTTTAAAAGGATAGATAACTGCAGAACAAGGGCAAATGGTTTTAAGTCGAGGGAGGGGAGATTTAGTTTGGATGTCAGGGGGAAGTTCTTTACAGAGAGAGTGGTGAGGTGCTGGAACAGGCTGCCCAGAGAGGTTGTGGATGCCCCATCCCTGGAGGTGTTCAAGGCCAGATTGGATGGGGCCCTGGGCAGCCTGGTCTAGTATTAAATGGGGAGGTTGGTGGCCCTGTTGTGGTAGGGGGTTGGAGCTTCATGATTCTTGAGGTCCCTTTCAATCCTGGCTATTCTATGATTCTGTGATTGATTCTATGATCAGGTCCTACAATTAACAGTGAATCATTTCTCACAGGTGAAAGATGAGCATTGTAGGAATTAGGGGCACAGCCTATGTACGTGCAGCCTAATGCTTTGAACATACAGGTTTGTACAATGTAAGGCAACAAAATGTTAATAATGTTAAAATGCACATCTTCATATTGTCTCTGAGTTTAAAAAAAAAAAAAAAAAAAAAAAGCCTAACTTATATTAGCATTTTTGTACAGCCTCTAGAGCAGAGGAAAGGCACCAAATGGAAATCTTCATGATTTATGAAGAGAAGAGAAGAGAAGAGAAGAGAAGAGAAGAGAAGAGAAGAGAAGAGAAGAGAAGAGAAGAGAAGAGAAATACAAAGAAAGTCTTAAGGAAAGTTCCACGGGAAATCAGCAAAACTGTGCAGAGTCAGGAAAATTTTGTATGGAAAAAACTAATTAGTGGCTGGGGGACCCATTTGATGACTTGCTGTTATTAACTAAAACCTCCAAAGCAAATGTTAATGTCTTAATTAGAAGCACAGTAATAATCTCCTAGATTTCCCAATGGGAAGCAAACAAACAAAAAAAAACCCTAGAAACATTATTTTTTTTTAAATTTTCTTGGTATTACTGTCTAAAAGCAGACACATCAGCAAGGGAAGCCACCCAGCATACTTTCTTTGTGGAGAAAAGCCGCTTTGTTTTCTGGTGGCAACATGGGCCACCCCACCTGGCCTTTCAGCATAGTGACAAGGTAGAAGTAAGAGATCAGTAAGTTTGTTTAGCTTTTTAGAAAATCAAAATGTTTGTCCTCATTGGTGGCTTTGGTTTCTGGAAAGAAAGGAAAGACCCCACGAAACAAGACTAACATTGGCTTAGTTAGCCAGAGTTGGACTATCATACTTTCTAGGAGTGTTCTTGGAGACTTTTCCAGTGAAGATACAGCTTTCCAGTTCTGAGTCAACCTGCAACATTTACACTTTCAGTTAGTCAAACCGGTATTGAAAAAGCTTATTTTTTTCTTACTGTGTCCTTATGCATTTCTGGTTCTTTGTTGTTATTCAGATCCAGTCAGCATTTTGCTAAATCTGTGACAGCAGTGTCATCACTCTGTTCTCTGTCAAATCCCTCCCCAAATCCCTTCCGCTGCTTTGGTAAGCTTACACTTTTCCTGTAGAACCCCTTGATGTGTAAAATGTATGCGATGTTTTGATCAAAGAGGTTCTTGTACTTAATGCAAATTTCCACTCACATATAGCAGTCAGATGTGAATGTATAGATCTAATCCTCCCGCTCTCCAGAGTGACACTGGGCCCATGGGACATCCGTCCAGCTAGCAGGGAAAATGGCTGTTGAGGAATATTTTATCATAGAATCATAGAATCGTCTGAGTTGGAAGGAACCATTAAAGTTTCTCTAGTCCAACCGCCCTGTAATGAACGGGGATTTTAACTTGACGCCCCATCCCTGAAGGCATTCAAAGCCAGGCTGGATGTGGCTCTGGTCAGCCTGATCCTGGTTGGTGACCCTGGGAAATGGTAAAAAAAAAATCTTGCCGCAATCCTTTCTGCTGCTTAAGTGAAGTATCAGATACCTGAGAATGATTTTCTGTAGGTTTATTTCAAAGCACAGATGCAAATACACAGAGTATTTTTTTCTGTGGATACTGATGATCATTGCTGGCCAGTCTCATTTTCAGCAAGTTGTTTTCAATTCATGTGAATATTGATTCTTGTAATTGTTTATTTTCCAACCTCTGTTTATTTGGTCATGGTTTCTACAACTTTGCTATCAACTTCTTTTAGTTCTAGGTGGATGGAGTTGAGACAATATGACTAGTCATCATGGAATTTGCCCCAGCATCATGAAGACTTTGATGCTATGTTGGTTAGGAGTGTTATACAGGACTGCTACTTGTTCTGTATGCCTTTTCTCTGAATTTTAGGGTTCTCTCCATCTTCATATACGCTCTGACCATAGAAATTTTTCTTTCCCTGCACTTCCACCGAAGACTGTGGTAGATAGAGGCTGAAGTTGTTCTGTTGGACCAGGTGTCTTTCTCTTTGATAGCTGTGTTGCAGAATGGGATATGCTGAAGGGAACACATTCTAGCACTTGGTTCAAGGATGGAGAAATTCCTCCAATCCTGTATTCTGTTTCAGAGACAATCCTCCTGCATTACATTTTCCTCTTGTTAAAAAACAGTTATTTTAAATTACTGTCAAGACATTGCTGACCTGTATTTATGACCTGAATTTATTCTATGATGGCTGCATAGGGAGTCCCTGCTGTCTAAATGAAGTCATTACTTGGGAACTACTGAATGAATGACCTCATAATTTTAAGTCGGCCTGAAGAAGCATATCTAGGTAGAAGGTTTCTGTCATACCTCTAAAATTTTCATCCATTACTTCTCTGAAAGATGGAATAAAAGTAGAATAAAAGAAGACTGTAATTTTCTTGAGTTCAGATCCATGCTTTTCAGTTGCCCAATTACAGATTGATTATTTATTATTACTTAGGATTCTGAAGAGAAACAATAGGTGCTCTCATACAAATTTTTTTACATGAGACTTTGAATGTATCAAATGTAGAGTTAAATACTTACCAGATATGGTCAGAAGACAGTGGTGCTTTGGAAAACACTTTCTTTGCAGGATTTTACAGGCTGAAAGAACTGGGGCTGCTCAGCCTGGAGAGGAGAAGGCTCAGAGATGACCTGATAGCAGCCTTTCAATGTATGATGGGGAGCTACAGGAAAGAAGAGGACAGACTCTTTAGCAGGGCCTGTGGTGACAGAACAAGGGGAAATGGCTTCAAGCTTAAAGAGGGTAGATTTAGGTTGGATATAAGGAAAAAGTCTTTTACAGTGAGGGTGGTGAGGCACTGGAACAGGTTTCCTAGAGATGTGGTTGATGCCCCATCCATGGAGACTTTCAAGGCAAAGCTGGATCAGGCCCTGGGCAACATGATTGAGCTGTGTGTGTCTCTGTTCATTGCAGGAGAGTTGGACTAGATGATCTTTAACAGACCCTTCCAACTCTCAAGATTCTAGGATTCTAGGATTCTATGATTTTCCAACTCCTGAATATCCCATTCTGTGTCCCTTCTATGCTGACTGATGTTCACTGGCATGTTTCACAGTATAAAAAGAGATTTTTTTGTATTGTACTTTTTGCCACGTTAAGCCCTTAATTTTACCTACCAGTTTTCTCAGTACAGGCTCAACAACTTTGCCCCTTTTGAAGCTGCTCTGTGAAGTGCTTTAGTATCTGACTACCACAATACCACACTTGAGTTTATTTACTTTGTGGGAAAAGTATTGCACCAAAAAAGGAAGAGAGAAGGCCTGTGGTTGGACTTAAATCAACGTGTCCTTTGGAGGACTAAACGGGCTGATTAAGGCACACACAGGAGTGGCTTCATTCTATATAGGTCCCTTCTAGCTGAACTAAACCTACTACTATCCTCCTCTCCTCTCCTCTCCTCTCCTCTCCTCTCCTCTCCTCTCCTCTCCTCTCCTCTCCTCTCCTCTTTGTGGCCCTTTGCTGGACTCCTTCTAGGAGATCCCTGTCTTAATATGTATATAGTGTTAAGATAAATATTATATTAAGATGTTTATATATATTAATATTATATTAACAATTCAGCTTTAAATACAAATTTGTTCTCGAAAATGTTACTCTCCCTCCAAATAAGAGTATAACAGTTTTAATTTTTATTGAAGCAGTTAACAAGTATGGCTGTCTGGCTTTATCACAGAATTACTGCACTGAGTAAAAGCTGCTTCAGAAACAGCAAGAGACAAAGGAACAGTGAATGTACCAAATGATGACTGTCTCAAGGAGTCAAACATTTCTTTGTTGTGGATGCCTGCCTCTCTAGGAAGTTGGCTGGCTGCAGCAAGGAAAGAAGCTTTGTAAATCAGCTGGGGATTATTTCTTAGTACTTATTTAGAAACATATATATTTTGTGCTTCGCTGTTAGCTTTGTAATATTTATGAGCATTGTAACTATACAGGATATTTAACCCT